GGTGAGCAAGACAGCAAAGGAAAAGGATTTGGCAGCTATAATCGTGTGCAGTCAGAGGAGAGATTTTCTTAAAATCCTAGCTAAGTGCCAGGTGCCAGGACAGGTATGAAAATCCTGACAACTTGGACAGATAAATCCCAAACTGGAAATTCCTTAGGTTTAAGCAACTGCATGAGCAACAGAAGTGAACCAGGCATTTCAGGGATTTGTGCCCTAAACAATCACTTAGTAACCCCAACTCCCTCGCACATCCCTAATTACTAGGGGTGGTACATACAATAACCAAGCACGTGCTGGGTAGAGCGCCTGGCGAGGTGGAATGTGTAATGACGGCTGTCTGCCTCCCTTTTCCCTCATGAGAGCCCTGTCATCTTGTCTCTCCCTTTCTCAGATGCTGAATTTCATGAAAGATCTCTAGGAATGTAGTTATTTAGGAGTTCTACTGCCTTTGTGTTCCAGTTGCAAAGAGGTGAATCCTTTCAAATCCTGTTAGAGAGGACAGACGGCATGATTGGGAAAACACTGTTTAGCCAGTCCTCAAAAAAAAAAAAAGCCATTTTCATTTCTTGCTGTTTCCATTTCTTCCCATATAGTGGAAGCATTGCTAGGGAATAATTCCCACTTCAGAATAAATTACCAGCTTTGCTGAGATTGCAGTTCTGACACCTCCGGGGCTATAAAGGTGTGATAAAAAATCCTGCCCCTCTGTGCTGGGGAGGAAGGGGGCTGCAGCTCGGAATCAGTCACTGGGAACAACTTCAGCCTAGCTTAGCTTCAGCCTAGCGCTGAAGTTCTTGATGCAAGGAGCATAATTACGGTGCAGATAGTGCATCAGTACCTGCGAAAGGCTCTTGTCTGCGCTCAGCATACGTGTGATTTGCATCAGTTGTCCTGCCTGAAACCACTAATGAGCTTAAGAACTCTTCTGTTTCCTTGGCACTTAACAAAAATTAAATCCTTCCCCCAAACAAAAATGTCGTGTGCTTAGCCCGATGCTTTCAGGCCAGCACAATGGGTAATCGCTGACCTTGCCTGAGATGCCACCTCAAAGCTCATTACTGAATAATTAGGTGATCCTTAACCTTTCTACAAAGTTTGTGGGTTTTTGGAGCTTGGTGGGGCTCCTGGTTTAAGGGTTTGATTTTTTTTTAATTTGTTTGTTTGTTTGTTTCCCCCACCAATAACATGACATATCCCGATACTCAGCCTTGAATTTCAGGCACTGGGCTGTTCCAAACTCCATCTGTCCACTAAGTGAATGTCAATCCAATTTAAGCTTGCATATGTTTCCAAGGAAACCAGCGGAGGCAATGGCGAGAAATGGACCACGGAGGGGCAGGGAGGCAAGCACAACAGCAGCATTTTTACTTTTCAATACTTAAACATGATTAAAACCCAGTTAGCTGTAATTACCTTGTATAGAGCAGTGTTTAGAGTACTTGAAGGTCGGATAGTTCCTCTTGGAGAACAGATAGTCTGTGATGTGTGTGAATGAATTGTAGTCAATTTACAAATAAAAAAAAAAGGGGGGGGGGGAAGTGGCTTTAGGTGCTGCCCCCAAGGTCTCATTCCAGCTCTTAGAGCTCTATATTTTCCCATATAGATTATGATTTTGTATAGTATGGTCCTAATTTTCTTGCCTTTCTAACAGGCTGGAAAACTCATGCGGCCATATAAGAGCATGTCCAGCCCCGCAGCTGAAAAAAGCGAGCTGTAAATGCTTTCACCCTGTTCTACCTGAAGGAGTCTTCATTTAGAAACTCCCCCAACACACACACACACACACAACCCAAAAAATATAAATTGAAGATGTTTAGGTAAATTAAAGATCAGTGTCCTGGTCATGTTAAAAGAGCAACAAAGCATCTCAGTGCTGCGCTGGTGTATTCCTGCGCTGTTTTGAAGAGCAGTAGTAGTGATTTGCATTGCTTGAGGAGCAGGGAAGAGGGGGATATATTTGGATATTTGCTTGTGATCACTCAGACCAGCCGAAGGTGCTGCAGTGCCCTGAGAGCTCATCTCTTACCCAAGGCCTGAGAATTTCCAGACACTTACCAGCTCAAGCACACTTAGCCTTTTGGAGGTACAAAAGGAAACCCGCCAGGTTAGATGGAGCATAAGGCTGCAGAGGTGTGTTGGTGTTTGCTACCTTTTGCAGATCCTGATGGCAGGCTGTGTTGACCACAGCAGAGAACCGACAGGACTCGTGGCATGCTCCGTGTCCGCGGGGCTCTGCGAGGCATCCCCCGGCTCTGCTGGTGCTCCCACACTGCGCGGCAAAGCTGTCAGCGGGCTGGGAAGCAGCAGAGCAGTCTGGAGACTCAGAGGCAGAATTTGCACTGGGTTTTTGTTTAGAAGAAATTACGGTGGTTGTATTTTTTTTTTTTTTTCCCCCCTGTTTAGAGGAATTCATCCTTAATTGAGAGTCTAAATTCTGCAGGAGCCTGAACTGTAAGTCTGCCTTGCTTTCTGAAGAGAAGCGTATTTCTGCCTGTTAATACAGCCATTAAATAAAATGTTTATCTTGGTTATTGAAATGAGTAGCGAGGCTCTCACTTTGGAGCTCTAAAACGGGATATTAGCTGTCATTTTAGTTTAAAGAATGCTGCTAGCACGCCTGGGCTTAAAATGTTTTACTGTGACAAACAGTTGAAGCAGGAGCTGAAATTCTGGTATCTGGGGGTATCCTGCGTGGGTTTATCGTGTCCTTGTGCATTGTAACTGCAACAGGAGGCAGAAACTCCTCAGCTCTGAGCTCTTTGCAGCTGTTGTCCAGCATCAGAACCTTTTTGGGTCAAATCTCCAGAGATTTGGACTGGCTCTGGGGAGGTGAGCACCTGGGCACGGGCACTGGGAGTCGTGCTCGGGGCTGTGAGTACGCGGTAGCGGGGTGGTTGTGGCCGGTGGCGGGGGGCTGATAAGGTACCTCCTTATCAGCTGTTTACCCTTCCACGTCTGGGCACAGCATGGGAAAGCAGAGCTTGCTGCAGCTTTCTTGCATCTTCTAGCAGCTCCTGGAAACTTTCTGCCAGTTCTTCTGCCGTTTGACTGGTAGCTGCGAGCATCTCCCGCTGCCACTTTGGCTCTGCTTCAGCTGGCAGCTCTTGCAGCTGCAGGGATCCGTCTCTGATCAGCTCTCTGGTCAGATTTATGATGGTCTAGCTTCAGATTTTGTCTACTTGTACCCCAGCCCGCTGGGTTCTGTAGCTTTAAACTGTTTCCCTCTTTTACCCTAGTGCTCTCATGCTCGTGACTTGGATGTATGAGGATGTTTTTCTCTTCCCCATCCATCTGGCCTGTGTGTTGAACATCTCAAATCATGGAGCTGACAATCAAGCAGTAATACTGATTATCTTTCTGTTTATCCACTTTTCAGTTCTAGGAGTTCCTAAAAGTTTTGCTCTTCTCTGTTACAAATTATTCTCCTTGAAGCCAGAATTGGGAAAAGTATGGGGGGTGTCTTGGAAGTATCAGAGACTCATTTGTGAAGAACAGCTTGTGTATCACTTGCAGGACTCTTGTCCCCAGCACTCATGGCACTTAGATGTTTTGAAGCTACAGCCTGACTTCAAGGGACCTTCCTGAAAATCCAGTTGGAGGCACCCATGACATTTCCATAAAACTAGACTGAACTGTTTAAAAGCTTTGTAGTTCCCAAAGGGGAAGTTGTAATTTTGCTCCTTTGACAGCAATCTGGTGGTTTATCCTCTGGAGATCACAATGACTTCATGGTGACCTGCACTGATGTGAAAATGGAAGGCTTCAGAGGCTTGTTTCTGGGCTCCCCTTGAGATGAGACAGTGCCTCTGCTTAGGGAGCAAATGTCTAAATGGGCTCCTCTTGTAGCCACAGGTCTGAATGTGAAATGTCCAAGTATGAATAAAGTCAATGTAACTGTAGGTGAGATTTGCATGGAAGCTGCAAGTCGTATAATGAAACTGTTTTGATCTTGAAGCAAATTGTAGCTCTTGGTGCTTGGGAGTTTATCTGCACCAGAAAACGCTGAACCACTTCTGGCAGATCTCTTGCAACGCGTGTTGTGGAGGTACTGCCAGTGCTTGTTTGGGTTAACTAGCTTCTTTTTTTTTAGTGTGGTCTTATGAGAAGTGCTGTTAGCCTGAAATTGCAGAGCTAGATGGATGTGGAAGTCGGGAGAGGTGCAATGCTGAACATGAGTGCTCTTAAAAATAAATGGTGAAAATGGCAATCAAGCTTTAAAGCGTCTTTGCCAGCTGTGTGTGGCCCCGGGATCTGTGTGTGCCCGGGGCAGTAGTGGGTGTAGAGAAGGAACCTGGAGTGGCTGTAGGCAGCCCTGCTCTGGGGCAGGGGGTGAATCGTACCAAAACGTTGCTGACAGATGTTATTCTAACTGCTTTTTTTAACCTCAACTTCTCTAGGCGATCTCATGCTTTTTCCATCTCAGCAGGAAGGAGACATGTAGGAAAAGGCTTCTAACCATCCCTAAGTGCAGTTCAAGTCCTCTCATTCCCTAGGGAATGCCGTATCACCATCTTCTTACATGTTGTGAAATTTCTTCTCTGCCCTTTTTTTAACTGCATGACATAAGCTCCTACGCCCTCTCCTTGCTGGCCACCCTCATGTCCTTCGCCCTTGCTGCTCCCTTGCTCGCCCAGCACGGAGGACACGGGCTGGCTGGAGCCTGCTGTCCTCCGGGCTCCTACCACGCTGCGCCTGGCCTGTCTGCCATGCAGTGGTCCTGGCCATCTGCCCCAGGGTGCTGTTTATTTTTTTTCACCATGGTGGGATGTTGTTGACTCGTCCAGCCTGTGCTCCTCAACAGACCCCAGCTGCTTTCTGCAGAGTGGCCCCTGTTTTGCATTTGTGTGACCGATGATTCCTGTCTGGCTGGGGGATAAATTGTACATTTATCCCTATTGATGAGCTCTTTAAACTTTTTTTTTTTTAATGCTTCTCTGGTCCATCAAGATCATATGTGAACACATAGCTTGTCTTCTGACTTTGCTTGCTGTCTCTTCAAATATTACCTGCAGGTGAGTCTGTGACTACTAATAAAACACTATGTGACTTACTAATAAAATATCGAGTAGTCTCAGGCCTGCCCCTGGAGAACCTGCAATGTCTGCCATTGTGTTTTGTCACAGAATCGTCAGGTTTGGGGAAGGGCCATATTTGTGTCTAGCTTACGGTGGTTTTCTTCAGGCCATACACCCCTCGCTGGTTCCAGGGATGTCCCAGAGAGCAGCCTGAGAACAGCTGAGGAGCAAAACCCAGTGCTTTGCTCCCACAGCACTGGACGTATTAAGTGGCAGCAACCAGGCAGGTTCAGTAGATGATTCCCAAATATTTCTCCTTGTAGACAACTGCTATTAGCAGGGTCTGCTTGCGTGTCGTTCTGGGGCACACTTTCTGTGCAAGGTCACGTAGCAGCAGTGGGTGGCTGTGCTGCAGCTGAGGGAGCATAACCTCCTAGGGCCCCCCCGGACATGGGGCACCTTCCACAACCAAGCCCCCACATCATTCAATCTGGAGCTCTTGGGATTGAGTGTGTAACATAGTCATTATTCTTAATTATTCCTGATTTTTTTTTTTCTTAAAGTCTGTTTTTCCTTCCAGCTGTGCAAGATGCAACAAAATCTAAGTAGCACTTTGGTGTGATGTAGTTTAAATGGCTCACCTTATTGAAAACATCTTATCATACCCATTGCTTTGAAAGCTAATTGTGTTTAATCACTCCCTTTCTGAATGGCCAAATAATGTCACGCATGTATAGGTAGATAAATGCAAGTTAATGAGTGGATATAAAACAATCACTCCCAGAACAGGTCTGCAAATGCTGTCCAGTCTATTTAAAGGTGATATTTGTTGCCATGACTGATCAAACCTGGGGCGCAAGCAAATGTGTGTATTTAAATCTACCTCTAATGATATGGGTAAAGGATGAAAGATCAGGTCGAGCTTCTAATGGGAGTTAAATGGGCTCTCGTGGAAGCAGTGTTCCAGTTATTGGGCTTCTATCTGTCAAAAGGGGCTGAATTGCCTATGTTTGTGGTTTCTGTTATTTTAGTACCACTTAACGAGTCTTGTATGGAGACATATACCAACATTCAACTGTCTTGCTTGAGTTTTCTCTCATCAGATCTCTGCCAACATCATGCCAGCTGCTGGTCGCTAGAAACTCTTCTAGCTCTGCTTGGGACCTTAGGCAACATAGGTGTTGAGTCTCTCTGCTTTCCTGGCCTTAAATTAGTAAAAGGAAGTTTGTGCTGGGGCCAGCGATTCCTCTGCCTGGGCCAGGAGCGGCGTGGCAGCCGTGGCATTCGGCGTGGTGAACGGTCCACGCATGGTGCTTGGGCTTCCCCAACCCAACCTGGAGCCCCGACAGTTCTGGAAAGAGCCAGGGCTGGGCACTGAAGACCTTGCAGTGCTAATTGCTTAGTAATGAAAAGTGTAATTGCCAAGCAATTAACTTTAAGCACGTTGTGGCTGGTGGAGGCTCAGTCTGGTCTGATGAAGACATTAATAACTTTAGGTTCCAGACTAAAATCTCATCTGTTTCCTGTACAAGTGCGAGTACCTTGGGCCTTCCCGCACACTCCCCATTGACTCCCCGAGTCTGAAACTGTCTTCTGCCTTTCCACCTGCTCCCTCACCAGAGGCTGTATTCCTGTGTGCTAATTCCCCTAATGGAGAATCAATTAAACTGCTCTTTGAAAAACAAAACAACAACAAAACCCACCTTTGAGTTCTGTCATACAGGTGAGTGTGTTAACACCACCTTAGGAATGAAGTCACTTGTTCTGCTTTGAGAACTCAGAAGGTGTTGCACCACCATCCAGTTGTGCTAGATTTTTTTTTTTTTTTGTCTGCCCTAATACATTAAACCAGCTGAGTTGTGAAATTTTAAGAGGAACTTTTTCACTTACCTTGTATTCATTTGTAAATACTGTGCTCTTGATTTAAAAAGAGGGAGGAAAGGTTTTACAGTAAGTTTAGTTAGGCTCGGCAGTTTTACCTTGGTTAGAACTGTGCCGCTAGAAGATGTGTGAATATACACCTATACGTGTGGTGTTGATTGATACTGTATTTTGTGAAGGAAAAAATAATAATTGTATGTGTATTTTAAAATATGTTTTAGAGATATTTTCAGGTGGGCTATTTTATTGAGAAAACCGATGGGTATGCCTGGTAATTTTTAGATGCTGGGATGTCAATAGGTGTCCTGTAACTTGACTCTTCCCTGCTTGGAACTCCCAAGTTTCTAGACCTGCAGAAGTTCTGCCCACTTTGTTGACAATATTTTAGGCTTCAGCCACATCGGAATTTTTATTCTGTAAGTTTAAATGCAGCAAAGTCAGCTTCAAATTTAAGCCCTGCTTAGACGTTCAGTGCGGTGCTCTGGTTTATAAGACATACAGGGAAGGAGAGTGTGTGGCTACGGGGATTCCAGTGGGAATGCGAGAGTTTTGTAAACTCGTTCTTTGACTTGAATTCTGGATTGGGATTGAAACTCTCAAATGGAAAACTGCTCAGCATAAGTCATCTTCTGTCACCTGTGTCCTCATCTGGAGAAGCACATGGAGGATGGTGGTATTTTAGGTGATGGTAGGAAAGCGAGAATAAAGAAATAGAAAGTGTGTTTTCTTTTGAAATGTCTGTTGCGCTTTGACTATAAAGAGGAATCAAAACCTATGATGGAGGAAATTTGAAATCCCAGAACGGTGTTCTGCTTTATGGACAGCTTTGTATGGACCAAGCTGAGGCTGAAGTAATGTGGTACTACTTTTTAAAACTGCATAGAAACAATGTGTATTTCTAAACAAAAGTTGATACTGTCTTAAGTACTTACTCTAGAACAGACAATACATTCAGATTACAGTTTTAGTCTGAAGAGGTAGTTCTGGTCAATGTATTTCAGCTGTGGATGAGTCAGAACACAGGAATCCCTGAAAATATTACACGAACTTGTTTTTTAAGATAGCCTTTTTTTTGCCTGCCTGCCTTTAAGGCTTCTGTAAATTTAAGTTGAGGTTATAAACATTCATGTCTGTTAAATTTTAAAATCCAGTCTCCCTTCTGCTCTCCTCTCAGAGATGATAACTGATAGTCAGCACCTGGAGCTGCAGTGCCAAGGATTCAGATGCAGAGGTGGGGCACTGTGGTGTCAGGCAGTTTTGAGGGATGCTCTGAGGTGAGGAAAGTAAGATGAATTATTTAAAGGGGGGGAAAAAAAACCAACACTGTTCTTGAAGTTGCATTTTGGGTCAGATTTTATGATAGTTAATTAAGTGTTACATTGAAGGAATGCCTTGCCTTTCCCTGAATTTCCTGTGCTGTTTTTTCCTCCCCTAAAGCAACTTTTGAGCTTGTTGAGTAGTAACCTGTCTGTGGATCTCGAGGGTGCTGTGCTGACAGTTTCTAGTCGAAAGGGTTGAGAGTGAATGAAGACCTTTGTGGAGGGAGATGTCCCGGAGAGAGAAGGGAAGGCCAGATCCAGAGATAGGAGGGCAGCAACAGCTTCGAAACGGAGAGGAGCTGGCAGGGAAGCACCTGCCCTTGAAATTCCCAAAGGCAGCACAGTTTTGCAGATGCATGTGTAATACACAAAATCACGGTGCATCTTGAATTATTTAAACTGAGCAGTTTGGAGGAAGTTCCTAAAGAGGTTGTGGAAGAGTGTGATTATAATATATAGAAGAGCTTTAATATTTACTGTGGAAAAATCTTGCACCTTGTTCTTCAAAATAAAGTCTTGGAAATAATTTGTTATTCCATTTTGTCCGTATAACCAGGAATGGTGCCAGAGCTATCTGAGCAAAGTGACATATGATTGATATTTTACCAGACTCAGCCTTCTGCCATGAAGGAATTCAGTTTGCATTTTGCATATATGGAAAATCAGATGAGCAGGGCTTGGGGTTTTTTTTAAACCTTGATTAACTTGATTGGCAAAGCTTGTGCTCCTTCTAAAAACACAACTGTCAAAGCTGTCCTGAAATATTTTTGACTTGGTTTTTCAAACTACTTATAGGCATCTTACAGGGCGTTGTTAAGAGTAGCTGTCACGTAGGCAGCTTTATGCGGAACCTATTTAAAGTTCTATTAGGCAACTCTTTGTAAACGTGGGATATTCAATGTATCTAGTATTTCATGTGTAGTAGTAGTTGCTGCTGATCTTCTCTGGGATATTTCAGAAGAATCGCAAAATCCATGCAGGCTTTAGCCTTCCTGTTTCTTGGGTGGTCCAGTCTGTGCACCTCCCATCCCTTCCAGGGCTCGTCTTGCCTAATCTCTCTACTCTGCTTGTCTTTATTAAGAGCAGACCTTAATGACTGATTCACTGGGGAGCGATATAGCAAAGGCCGAGTGTCGAAGCATCTCTTCAGCGTGAGTGCTTTCGTTCAAAATTGTCAGCCTTAAGACAAGCCTGATTTTTCACCCCTGCCTCCACGTGCTCATCCGCTGCACATGCAAATGCCAGGGATTTACTTTGCCTTACCTGGGCTTTCATTGCAGCAGTGTGGCTGGATCTGGTTATCCATGGTTCTTCATTCTTACTATTTTTTTTTCAGATTGATTTTGAGAGATGAGAAGCTGATGGTGGGCTTTGCACTGTGGGAATAATTGCAGTGTTTGTATTGGGAAAGAAGTGGCTTCTCTTCAGGGAGGGGGTTAGCTTTCTGTGTGTAAGCTTGTTTGCTTGTGTCTTCAATGCCATGGTTGCATATTATTTTTCCCCAGAGCTCCTGAACTGTTCCGTGCACCAAGAGAGTTTAGAGAATAGCATCCAAAGCTGGTGGCTACTGGCCCTGAATTTTGGAGTGGCCGTGGGTTCCTGCAGCTGAGAGGCTCTCTTGTAGGAAGATCAAGCGATGAATGCAGGATTAAAATGCTGTTCAGGAATTCCAGTATGCTCTATCACCCTTAAGACAAGCTCGGGGTTTTGTCCTCGTCCTGGTATACCCTGCTTTAACCTGTCAAAAGGCAAAAGAAATGTGTCCCCTCTGAGTGAGAGGCGGTGGTCATTTTGTCC